TTTAATATTTTAAAATATAATTTATTCCTGAATTTTCACATCCTTTACCAATCATTCTAATATGCTGATTTGCTGCTCAAGAACCAATTCTTATTGTTATCAAGGCTGAAAACAATATTTGTGGAAATGTGATAGAAAGTACAAAAGAACAGCATTTATTTGAAATAGAATTCAACAAACGAACGAAAGAAAGAACAAATGAACGAGAGAAAGAGAAAAAGAAAGAAAGAAAGAAAGAACGAACGAATGAAAGAGAAAGAACGCAAGAAAGAAAGAGAAAGAATGAATGAGAGAAAGAACGAATGAACAAAAGAACGAGAGACAGAAAGAACGAATGAATGAGAAAAAGAAAGAAAGAACGAACAAATGGACGAAAGAAAAAGAACGAAAGAGAAAGAAAGAAGGAATGAAAGAGAAAGAAAGAAAGAACGAACAAACGGACGAAAGAAAGAAAGGAATGAACAAAAGAAAGAATGAAAGAGAAAGAAAGAACGAACAAACGGATGAAAGAGAAAGAGAAAGAACGAACAAACGGACGAAAGAGAGAAAGAAAGAAAGAGCAAATGAATGAGAGAAAGAACGAACGAATGAACAAAAGAACGAAAGATCGAACAAACGGATGAAAGAAAGAAAGAACGAAAGAGAAAGAAAGAACGAAAGAATGAGAGAAAGAGAAAGAAAGAAGAAAAGAAAGAAAGAACGAATGAATGAGAGAAAGAGAGAAAGAACGAATGAAAGAGAAAGAAAGGAATGAAAGAAAGAAAGAATGAAAGAACGCAAGATCGAACAAACGGATGAAAGAAAGAAAGAACGAAAGAGAGAAAGAACGAATGAATGAGAGAAAGAGAAAGAAAGAAAAGAAAGAAAGAACGAATGAATGAATGAGAGAAAGAGAGAAAGAACGAATGAAAGAGAAAGAAAGAACGAACAAACGGACGAAAGAACGAATGAACAAAAGAGAGAAAGAAAGAAAGAATGAAAGAGAAAGAAAGAACGAACAAACGGATGAAAGAAAGAAAGAACGAAAGAGAGAAAGAACGAATGAATGAGAGAAAGAGAAAGAAAGAAGAAAAGAAAGAAAGAACGAATGAATGAATGAGAGAAAGAACGAATGAAAGAGAAAGAAAGGAATGAACAAAAGAAAGAATGAAAGAGAAAGAAAGAAGGAATGAAAGAAGGAATGAACAAACGAAAGAATGAAAGAGAAAGAACGAATGAACGAAAGAGAAAGAAAGAAGGAACAAAAGAAAGAAAGGTGTGAATGGTAAGTTCAGGAACGCTGTGATATATGGTATAGGTCAGTCTAGTTGAGATGAGTCCAGCTGGCTGTCTGGTGAAGTGAGGGGTCACCACAGATCTGACCGCATCTGTACCTTCACAGTCAGGTCCTCGTGGCCCAGGACGATCTGCACATGCACCGGGGGATACTCCATGGCGTCTTCATAAAGCTCCATGGTGGCGCGCATGGCATTCTGCAGGAGTCACACAACATATTTATAGCTCAGCACTCTGCTGCTCTCCTAAAAGAGCAAAGCCATTTAATGTGCGTCATGTGACACTAAATCATGCATGATCCAATACTGAATATTTACATTTCACTCAGAACTTTTGGCAAATATGCTCTCCAGATGAGTGCATACTTCAATATTTCAGCAGTGAGAAAAGATGTACAGCACCTTAAAGAGCTCAAACACCATGTGGTACAGATGAGACGGCACATACACCACAGCAATGGGTTTATCGGGTCCTTTAACTGTGGAGCAAACACACGAGAAACAGCACTCACACTTCTGACCGTCCTAATCATTCATTCAGTCACGTGACTTCAAGTAAATTGTGTGTGCAGCAAGAAGTTACCATTAAATTCTTCCAGTACTAACTCGGGTGAGTTCATATAATACCGGCTGCAAAGGTTACAGGCATTTTCGTACGCATCTGAAATACAGTAACAGGAAAAAGTTGAAATATTGAACAGGAAAATAGATGTTTTATAGATTCTAAAGAGAATATAAATGGTGCTCCTCAAGGCAAAAGTTGCTGTCATGATTGCAGTGTGTTGTGGCTGTTTGCCAGGGTATTGCTGCACTGTTTCTAATGTATTTTGGGTGGCTGTGAAATATCATATTTCACTTTAAAAAATCCTTTCCCCACTGTAATGCTGGAAAATGAAAATACATAATCATGGTAGCATTTGCTATAATAAATTTAACTTATGCTGATATAAACATTTTCTATCTATCTATCTATCTATCTGTCTACTGAAAAATCCTGATGTACTCAACAGTTTTAAATATTGATAATAATAATAATTTCTTGAACAGCAAATGAGCAGATTATTATGATTTCTGAAGGATCATGTGACACTGAAGACTGGAGTAGTGATGCTGAAAATACAGCTTTGATCACAGGAATAAATTACATTTTTAAATATATTCAAATAGAAAGCAGTTATTCTAAATAGGGATGCACGATTGAATGAGAGAAAGAAAGAAGAAAAGAAAGAACGAATGAATGAGAGAAAGAACGAAAGAATGGACGAAAGAAAAAGAACGAAAGAGAAAGAAAGAACAAATGAATGAGAGAAAGAGAAAGAAAGAAAGAAAGAACGAATGAACGAAAGAGAGAAAGAAAGAAGAAATGAATGAGAGACAAAGAACGAAAGAGAAAGAACGAATGAGAAAGAGAAAGAATGAATGAAAGAGAAAAAGAAAGAACGAACAAATGGATGAAAGAAACAGAATGAAAGAGAAAGAAAGAAGGAATGAAAGAAAGAAGGAATGAACAAACGAAAGAATGAAAGAGAAAGAACGAATGAACGAAAGAGAAAGAAAGAAGGAACAAAAGAAAGAAAGGTGTGAATGGTAAGTTCAGGAACGCTGTGATATATGGTATAGGTCAGTCTAAAAAAAAGGGAGAGACAGAGATATTGGGGAAAATGAAGAAAAGGGAAAGGGAGGTGACGGTGCAGTGCAAGAGAGAACCTTTCATTATTGTCCATGGCCCCAGACTAAGGATTTAGACCTTTTTATGTGATGGTCATACAAATAATAGAGTTGTCTGTGGTTTCAGAAATTGTTGTGGATGTATCGGCTATATAAAAAGGGGCCAACATTGCACCTTTTGGGGTACAACAGCTTGTCACTGGAACAGGACCCTTAAAAGGACATCTTTGTTCCTTTTTTTACCCCTAATAGGTAGGCCTACTAGTACCTTAAGGGTACGAATTACTACTCTAAGGTACTAATATGTACCTATTAGGGGTAAAAAAGGGTACAAAGATGTCCTTTTAAGAGTACTGCTATGGTGACAAGCTGTTGTAACCCAAAAAGTACAATTTTGGTCCCTTTTTTTCTGTGTGGCCTGGATGAGTGTGAGATTTCCCGGCCTGAAATTACGTCC